GTCTTTGGTTTAAAATCTAATTTGTCTGATATAAGGATTGCCACCCCAGCTTTCTTTTGGTGCCCATTAGCATGGTAAATGGTTTTCCACCCCCTCACTTTCAATCTGGGGGTGTCTTTGGTTCTAAAATGAGTCTCTTGCAGACAGCATATCGATGGGTCTTGTTTTTTAATCCAGTCTGATAGCCTGTGTCTTTTGATTGGGGCATTTAGCCCATTTACATTCAGGGTAACTATTGAAAGATAGTAATTTAGTGCCACTGTATTGCCTGTAAGGTGACTGTTACCGTATATTGTCTGTGTTCCTTTCTGGTCTATGTTGCTTTTAGGCTCTCTCTTTGCTTAGAGGACCCCTTTCAAGATTTCCTGTAGGGCTGGTTTTGTGTTTGCAAATTCCTTTAGTTTTTGTTTGTCCTGAAAGCTTTTTATCTCTCCTTCAATTTTCAATGACAGCCTAGCTGGATATAGTATTCTTGGCTGCATATTTTTCTCATTTAGTGCTCTGAATATATTCTGCCAGTCCTTTCTGGCCTGCCAGGTCTCTGTGGATAGGTCTGTTGCCAATCTAATGTTTCTACCCTTGTAGGTTACAGATCTCTTCTCCCGAGCTGCTTTCAGGATTTTCTCTTTGTCTATGAGACTCGTAAGTTTTACTATTAGATGTCAGGGTGTTGACCTATTTTTATTGGTTTTGAGAGGGGTTCTCTATGCTTCCTGGATTTTCATGCCTGTTTCCTTCCCCAAATTAGGGAAGTTCTCTGCTATAATTTGCTCCATTATACCTTCTGCCCCTCTCTCTCTTTCTTCTTCTTCTGGGATCCCAATTATTCTAATGTTGTTTCATCTTATGGTATCGCTTATCTCTCGAATTCTGCCCTCATGATCCAGTAGTTGTTTATCTCTCTTTTTCTCAGCTTCTTTATTTTCCGTCATTTCATCTTCTATATTACTGATTCTCTCTTCTGCCTCATTTATTCTAGCAGTTAGCGCCACCATTTTTGATTGCACCTCATTAATAGCCTTTTTGATTTCTACTTGGTTGGATTTTAGTTCTTTTACTTCTCCAGAAAGGGTTTCTCTAATAACTTCCATATTTTTTTCAAGCCCAGCTAGTATCTTTAAAGTGATGATTCTGAACTCTAGATCTGACATCGTACTAATGTCCGTATTCAGTAGGTCCCTGGCAGTCGGTACTACCTCTTGTTCTTTTTGTTGAGGTGATTTTTTCCGTCTTGTCATTTTGTGTAGAGGAGAATAGATTAATGAGAGAACAAAATGCTAGCAGAGTAACAACGTCCCCAGAAAATATACTCTAAACAAATCAGAAAAGACCTGAAGCAGTGGAACAAGAAACGGAAAGAGAGAAAAAAGAGAAAGAAAAAAAAAAAAAGAAAAAGATAAAGATAAAAACAAAAACAAACAAAACAAAACAGCAACAACAACAAAAAAACCAGAATGTGATCAAATATGATCAGGCTGGTATATAGATCAGTGCCACACACTAGATTTGGGGTGTATTTTGGTCTTTTAGAAGAAAGTGCCTCCCTAAATTTTAAAGAAAGAAAAACTTACATATGTACAAAAATAAGGGTTAATATGATGAAGGGATGGAATATGACTGTAAAGATGGAAATTTTAAAAAATTTTATAAAAGGAATTGATAAGAAGTTGTTTGAAAAAAGAAAGAAGAGGATCTAAAAAAAGAAAAAAGAAAAAAAAAAGGGAGAGAATGTGATCAGGCAGGGGAGCAGAAAAAACCATACACTAGAGATTTAGGGTATATTTTGATCTGTTAGAAGAAACTATCTCAAAATTTTAAAGAGAGAACAGCTTATATATATATGCCAAAAATACAGGTAACTACTATGAAGGGATAGAATATGACTCTAAAAATGAAAAATAAAAATGTTTTTTAAAAAAGGGATTGATAAGATGTTGGTTGAAAAAGGGAAAAAGAAAAATTCAAAAAAAAAAGACAGTTAAAAAAAATTAACTTTGAAAGACTAAAGAATCATGGTAAAAAAGCCATGAATTCTATGTGCAGTATTCCCCTAGCGCTGGAGTTCCGCTGTTCTCATTGATCGGTAAACTTGGTCTTGGCTGGCTGTTCTCGCTGATCTTCTGGGGAGGGGCCTGTTGCCGTGGTTTCCAAATGTCTCTGCCGGAGGCGGAATTGCCCCGCCCTTGCCCCCTCCCGGCTAAGGAATCTGCTCGGGTTTGCTCTCCGGGGCTTTTGTTCCCTGCGAGCTTTCCGTCCAGCTTTGGAGGCGGAGAGTGAAAATGGCGGCCTCCCAATCTCTGCCCCGGAGGAGCCGAGAACTCGGGCCCCGCTCCTCAGTGAGCCCCCAGAGAAAAGCCGTCAGTCACTCCCGTCTCCCCGGTCTCCGGCCGCACTCCGTGCTCACCCGGCCTGTGACCGCGCGTTTCTATCTCTGGCACCCGACCCCGGGTGGAGTCTCCAAACCCAGCAGATCCCTGCGGTGCGCTCCCGGACCACTCCTCCAGGGGGGAGGACGGGGAGTCTCCCTGGATCTGCCGCTTGTTGGGTCCCTGCTGGAGGAGCAGGGGCCCGACTGGGCCGCGGATCACGGTTTATGGCCACCCCGAGCTGAGAGCCCGCGCCTGGGCTCCGCCTCTGCAGCCGGCTTCCCCGCTCCGATCCCTGGGAGCTCTGCCACACTCAGGCACTCCCGGTCTTTCTGTGACCCCGAGGGTCCTGAGACCACACTGTCCCGGAGGGTTCCACCCCCCGCTTAGCCACCAGAGTGACGTCCCTCGGCGGAGCAGACTTTTAAAAGTTCCGACTTTGTGCTCCGCGGCTCTATCACTCGCCAGAAGGGCCGACGGAGGCCCCTCCCCCGCCGTCTATCCTCCCGAATATCGCCTCGGATTCACTTCTCCGCACGTCCTACCTTCCAGAAAGTGCTCGCTTTTCTGTTCAGAGAGTTGTTGCTATTCCTTTCTTCGATCTCCTGTTGAGTTCGTAGGTGTTCAGAATGGTTTGATCCCTATCCAGCTGAATTCCTGAGAGGAGACGAAATCCAGGTCTCCTACTCCTCCGCCATCTTGCTCCGCCTGGGTCCTGCTTTTTAAATACAATCTGAAACCCTGTATCTTTTGATGGGAGTATTCAAGCTGTTTACATTGAGAGTAACCATTGAAAAATATGAATTGAATGCCATTGTATTGCCTGTGAAGTCCCTGTTTCTATAGATAGTCTCTGTGAATTTCTGGTCCATATTACTCTTGGGTCTTTCTTCTTTTATAGAATTCCCCTTAATATTTCTTGCAGGGCTGGACTGGTGGCCACATATTCTTTCAGTTTCTGCTGGTCCTGGGAGCCCTTTATCTCTCCATCCATTCTAAATGACAGCCTTGCTGGATAAAGTATTTTTGGCTGCATGTTCTTCTCATTTAGTACCCTGAATATGTCTTGCCAGCCTTTTCTGGCTTGCCAGGTCTCTGCGGATAGGTCTGATGTTATTCTGATGTTCCTCCCTCTGTACATAAGAAATCCCTTCCCCCTAGCTGCTCTCAGGATAGCTTTCTTGGCTCCAAGATTTTCAAGCTTCTCTATAATATGTTGGGTGTTGATCTATTTTTATTGATTTTGGGAGGGGGTCCTCTCTGCCTCTTGGACACGAATGCTAGTTTCCTTCCCCAGATTGGGGAAGTTCTCCGCTGTGATTTGCTCAAATATACCTTCCAGTCCTCTCTCTCTATCCACCCCTTCGGGGATCCCAATAAATCTGACATTGGAACATTTCATGGCATCATTGCTCTCTCTAAGTCTATTTGCAAGGGCTACTAGCTGCCTATCCCTATCTTCTTCAGCTTCCTTCCTTTCTATCAGCTTATCTTCTAGATCACTGACTGGTTCTTTTGCTTCATTTACCCTGGCTGTTAGAGTATCCAGTTTAGACTGCATCTAATTCATAGCATTTTTAAGTTTGGCCTGATTAGATCTCATTTCTGTTCTTAGAGATTCTGTATTGTCACTAATGCTTTTTTCAAGCCTAGTTATTGACTTTATGATTGCTATCCTGAATTCTATCTCTGACATCCTGCTTATGTCCATATCCATTAGTTCTGTGGCAGAGGACATTGTCTGTGGTTCTTTGTTGGGAGTTCCTCCTCCTAGTCATTCTGTTGAGGGATGGTTGAGCGAATGGACAGAGTCCAAAATAGCAACCGCGACCCAAGCAAAATGCACCTTAGAAAAAAATCCCAAGTGGTCAAAAGCTACCACAGCTATGTAACCAAAGTCAAGATGACCCAAAGCAATAAAAAAAGGGGAAGGCAGGGAGGGATATTACAATTTCTTAGGGTGGACAAAGCAGGGTGATCTGCCTGTTCCTGCTTGATTTTTGGTCTGTGTGTTAGAGGACACTATATCCCCAAATTGCAAAGAGATCAGAACTTCTATATACATATCAAGATAAAATTGAGTAGAGTGAAAAACGGGCTAGTATGGGGCATAAATCTAAGAACATAGATGAGAAAAAAATAAAAGAAGCAACTTAAAAACATAGGTTGGGTGGTGCCTGGGTGGCTCAGTTCATTAAACGGCTGCCTTTGGCTCAGGTCATGATCCCAGGGTCTTGGCATCGAGTCCCATGTTGGGCTCCCTGCTCAGCAGGGAGTCTGCTTCTCCCTCTCCCTCTGCCTCCCCTCTTGCTCTCTCAATCTCTCTCAAATAAATAAATAAAACAAAACAAACCCATAGGTTGGGAAATAGAACCTATTTGGAATGGGAACAGGGTAAAAAAAAAAAAAAGGAAAAAAAAAGAAGAAAAAAAAAAAGAAAAGAAAGAAAGAATAAGAAAAGAAACTAAAAAACAAATGTAACATTTTAGCCTGAAGTATAAACGAGTCATGAGGGAACACCTAGAGCTCCCTGTATTATTTTCCCCTGGTGCTGTTTTTAACACTTCTCATGATGATGTAAGATGATAAAATGCCTACGTGATGGTATGAAGTGAGGTGGATGATGTGGTGGGTATGGGGATGCAGCGTAAAGGCTGCTATGACCTTCTGACACCACCTGAGGAGACCATCTGCTTCCAGATGGAGGTTGGCCACAGGTAGGTGAACCATGCAAGCCACCAGAAAACCGGGGTGTGGGGTAGTGGGGGTTGCCTCGGCTGTGGCGCCCACCTGTGGATGCACTCCGCATCTGAGAGCTCAGCCTCTGCACCCGTAGGACATATTCTGAGAATATGTGGGTCTAGAAAAGGCATTACCAGTTAAACATTTGTAAATATCGTGATACTTCACTGGTTTTCATCCCAGCGTGGTGGGCAGTTCGTTCACCTGCAGGGGAAGGAAGAAAGGAATCACAGGGAGCCCAAGGCTTGTGTTTGGACAATGTGTTTATTTAGGGGCTTTTCATGGTCTGCAGCAGACCCTGGCAGACAGAGAACAGAGCTGTGGAGGAAGGCTCAGGGAAGAGGAGAGATGGTTTGGGTCCCAGGCAGCTCCAGAGCTGGGGCGTCACTGCCTCCTGGGAGTCCCACACCAGCCTCAGCTCAGGTATTACAAGTGGAGAAGACAGGTGGTGGGAATGGGAGGTAGGTCTCGGATGGTAACAGCATGAACCTAGTCCTAACCAAATTCAGTGGGGGAAGTGGTGGGTGTTTAGAGGCTTAGAGCCCAAGGAGCTGAGATACAAGTGCAGCAGACAAGGAGGAAGGGCCTTCTAGAAGGTGAGTGGGGAGGGGCTCCAGGATAGATAAAAGAACAGGATCTGGTGAGCTGGGACTCTGGGCCCAAAGTTTCAGGTCACTCCTTTCTGATGAAGATGGACAAGGATTTGGGCTCCAGGGATATGGAATGTCTCATTGGTCATGGCCAGGGGACCTCAGATTGGAGCTACCTGGGGTCTGTGGTCAGAACCTCAGATCTTGTACTGGCAGCAAATGGGGACACAGCAGCTGGACTGGGAGCAGCAGGGCTTACAGCAGCTGGACTGACAGCAGGATGACCCACAGCTTGAAGAACAGCAGCAGGGTTTGCAGCAGCTGGACTGGGAGCAGCAGGGGACACAGCAGCTGGACTGGGAGCAACCACAGGAGCCACGGGAGCCACAGCCCCCCTTGCAGCCCCCACAGGAGCCACAGCTGGAGCAGGTGCAGGCTGGCACACAGCAGCAGACGGGCACACAGCAGCCAGAGCCACGGCCCCCACAGCCGGAGCCGCAGTCCCCCTTGGAGACCCCACAGGAGCCACAGCCCCCCTTGGAGACCCCACAGGAGCCACAGCTGGAGCAGGTGCAGGCTGGCACACAGCAGCAGACGGGCACACAGCACCCGGAGCCACGGCCCCCACAGCCGGAGCCGCAGCCCCCCTTGGAGCCTCCACAGGAGCCACAGCCCCCCTTGGAGCCCCCACAGGAGCCACAGCCCCCCTTGGAGACCCCACAGGAGCCACAGCCCCCCTTGGAGACCCCACAGGAGCCACAGCCCCCCTTGGAGACCCCACAGGAGCCACAGCTGGAGCAGGTGCAGGCGGGCACACAGCAGCAGACGGGCACACAGCAGCCGGAACCACAGCCCCCACAGCCGGAGCCGCAGCCCCCCTTGGAGACCCCACAGGAGCCACAGCCCCCCTTGGAGACCCCACAGGAGCCACAGCCCCCCTTGGAGACCCCACAGGAGCCACAGCTGGAGCAGGTGCAGGCGGGCACACAGCAGCAGACGGGCACACAGCAGCCGGAACCACAGCCCCCACAGCCGGAGCCGCAGCCTCCGGAACAGCCACAGCTGCTCATGATTCTGGTGGGTTGAGGGTGGAGCAGGTCAGAGGAGCAGGTGCAGAGGACAGGTGTTCAGGTGTGGAGCCTCCTGGGCCGGGAGCCCTTTATATACCTGCCCAGAGATCAGGCTGATCACTTACTGACTTCCTACTTCCTGTTTGTGCCTTTTCTCCAGGGCACAATCAGTGTGTGTGTGTGTGTGTGTGTGTGTGTGTGTGTGTACGTGCTCCCATCCCTGGCCTGCCATTGGCTTTGATAGCCTCTTTTTCATGTTTCTAAATTTAACTTCTTCCCATTGTGTTTCATTGTTATTAATAGAAACTGATTTCTAGGATTTTTAGCTTTTCTTGAATTTTCAGAGAATGGAATATCTGCAATTCTTAGGGGCATGTGCTTCTCTCTGCCAGGCTGCACATGAAGGCCAGGCTTTCGCTTATCTGCAGGTGCCTGCGGGGCTAGTCCCCACCCTCCCCAGGAGGGTCTGTGAGCATGTAGCCCAGAGTGGAGGGGAGATGGGCCCTGCCCACCCCAATTCTCACCACCGCCTCCTGTAGAGATGACTTAGGAGAATCATAATTTCTTTCTTTTTAAATTTTTATTTAAATTCTAGCTAGTTAGCATACACAGCAATATTGGTTTCTCGAATGGAATTCAGTGATTCATCACTTACAACACCCAGTGCTCAACACAACAGGTGCCCTCCTTAATCCCTACCCCTCACCTCCCTCCATTCACCCTCCATCTGATCTCTATCACTAAGAATCTCTTATGGTTTGCTTCCTTCTCTCTCTCTTTTTTTCCTTCTCCTATGCTCATCTGTTTTGTTTATGTTCCACAGATGAATGAGATCATATGGTATTTGTCTTTTCTGACTTATTTTGCTTAGCATAATACCCTCTAGTTCCAACCGTGTCATTGCAAATGACAAGATTTAATTCTTTTTGATGGCTGCGTAATATTCCATTTTATATACATACCACATCTTCTTTATCCATTCATCTGTTGCTGGACACCTGGGATCTTACATAGTTTGCTCTTGTGGACACTGATGCCATAAACATCAGGGTGCAGCTGCCCCTTTGAATCTTTGAATGGATATTTTTGTATCCTTTGGGTAAAAACCTAGTAGTACAATTGCTAGGTCATAGGGTTGTTCTATTTTTAACTTTCTGAGGAAACTCCATACTGTCTTCCAGAGTGGCTGCACCAGCTTGCATTCCCACCAACAGTGCAAGAGGGTTTCCCTTTCTCTGCATCCTTGCCAAATCTGTTGTTTCCTCACTTATTAATTTTAGCCATTCTGACAGGTGTGAGGTGGTACCTCACTGTGTTTGATTTGTATTTCCCTGATGCCAAGTGATGTTGAGCATTTTTTCATGTGTCTGTTGGCCATGTGTATGTCTTCTTTGGAGAAATGACTGTTCATGTCTTCTGGCCATATCTTTTCTTTTTTTTCTTTCCTTATGTTATATCTCTGCCCATTTCTTAACTGGATTATTCGTGTTTTGGGTATTGAGTTGTATTGGTTCTTTATAGATTTTGGATACTAACCCTTCATCAGGTATGTCATTTGCAAATATCTTCTCCCATTCTGTAGGTTGTCTTTTGGTTTTGTTGACTGTTTCCTTCGCTGTGCAGAAGCTTTTTATCTTAAAGTCCCAATAGTTCATTTTTGCTTTTGTTTCCCTTGCCTCTGGAGACATGTCTAGCAAGAAGTTGCTACAGCCAATATCAAAGAGTTTACTGCCTGTGTTCTCCTCTAGGATTTTGATGGATTCTTGTCTCACATTTAGGTCTTTCATCCATGTTGAGTTTATCTTTGTGTATGGTATGAGAACGTGGTCCAGTTTCATTCTTCTGCATGTGGCTGTCCAATTTTCCCAACACCACCATTTGTTGAAGAGACTGTCTTTTTTCCATTGGATATTCTTTCCTGCTTTGTCAAAGGTTAGTTGACCATAGAGTTGAGGGTGCATTTCCAGGTTCTCTATTCTGTTCCATTGATCTATGTGTCTGTTTTTGTGCCAGTACCATGCTGTCTTGGTGACTACCACTTTGTAATAGAGCTTGAAGTCTGGAATCGTGATGCCACCAGCTTTGGTTTTCTTTTTCAACATTCCTTTGGCTATTTGGGGTCTTTTCTGGTTCCATTCAAATTTTAGGATTGTTTGTTCCAACTCTGTGAGAAATGCTATTTGTATATTGATAGGGCTTGTTAAAATGTCTGTACTATCCAAAGCAATCTACATTTAATGCAATCCCTATCAAAATACCAGGAGAATGATAATTTCTAAATAAGATATCTGATTGACTTATTGTTGTTTTAGAGTAATTTTTTTTTTTTTTTTACCATTTTACCCATACAATTCGGTGACACTAAGTATGTTAATGATGTTTGTGATCATTGCCCCCCTCTGTTTCTGGATGTCTTTCATCACCTCAGACAGAAATTCTGTCCCCATTAAGCAATAATTCCCCATTTCCCCCTCTCCCCAGCTGTGGTAGCTTCTAGTCTACTTTCCACCTCTAGGAATTTGCCCATTCTAGATATTTCACACCCATGAAATAATACAGTGTTTGTCCTTTTGTGACTGGCTTAATTCACTCAGCATGTTGTGTTCAGGGCTCATCCACAGCGTAGCAGGTGTCCGAGCCCCATTCCTCTTCATGGCCGAATAACATTCCACATGTGGATAGACCACATTTTTTACCTGTTACCCGTTGATGGACACTTTGGTGGTTTCCACATTTGGCTGTTGTGCACACTGCCACTGTGACTATGGGTGTACAAGTGTCTCTGCTCTGCGCTCGCTTCCTTTGGGTAAATACCTAGGAGCAGAATTGCTGAGTCATATGGTAATTCTATATTTAACTGTTGGAGGAACTGCCCAGCTGTTTCCACAGTGACTGCCCCATTTTACTTCCCACGAACCGTGCACAAGGGTTCCAAATCCTCCTCTCCAACACTTATTCTTATTCTTTCTTTTTTTAATTGTAACTGCCATTGCAGGTGCGAGGTGGCATCTCATTGTGGTTCTGATTTTGTTTCCCTGATGGCTAAGGATATTGAGCATCTCTTCATACACTTATTGGCCATTGATTGGCCATTCGTGTGTCTTCTTTGGAGACATGTATAGTCAAGTCTTTTACCTATTTTTAATTGGGTTGTTTTTTTGTTGTTCAGTTGTAGGAGATCTTTATATATTCTGGATGTTAAATGCTTATCTGAGATATGATATGCAAATATTTTCTTCCTTTCTGTGGGTTATCTTTTCACTTTCTTGGTAGTGTCCTTTGCCTACATAAAATAGTTTTCTTCTGAGTTTTATAGTGTTAGCTCCTACATTTAGGTCTTTGATCCATTTCAAATTAATTTTTGTATACGGTATGAGGTGGGAGTCCAACTTCACTCTCTTGCCTGTGGATGCCCAGTTGTCCCAGCACCATTTGCTGAGACCATCATTTCCCCACTGAGTGGTCTTGGCACTCTTGCTGAAGACCAACTGGCCATACATGTGAGGAGAGGGTTTGTTTTCTGGGCTGTGTATTCTCTTCCACTGGTCTATAAGCCTGTCCTGTGCCAGCATCACGCTGCTTTGATTACTGCAGTGTGCAGTAAATTTTAAGATAAAGAAGTGTGAGCCCTTGAACTTTGTTCTTTGTCAAGATGATTGGGCTATTTAGTGGTGGCAGGAGTCTCTCGAAATTCCTTGCATATATTAAGATGGATTTTCTACTTGACAAAAAAGGTATTTTTTTTTTTAAATGGAACATATTAAGGAGGGCACATGTTGGGATGAGCATTGGGTGTTACATGCAATTGATGAATTGTGGGACACTGCAGCAAAAACTTATGGTGTACTATATGCTGGCTAACTGAACATAATAAAAAAAAGAAAAAAAAGAAACGTATTTATTTTGTTCTCATAAGAAGTTGACTGTCATTTGCCGGAAGCAGTATAACTATAGCTCTCCTGGTCTGCAGTGCCTTCGATGGGACCTCCTCAGGTGTGGCAGTCGATGAGCAGGTGGCTGAGATGTGAGTCCTTAGAGGTCCTGGGCACAGGATTCGGAAGTGTCATCGGCAGCTTCAGTTTAGAAGCCTGTTGAAGGTGACTGTCCGGCTGGGACCCAGGCAGGCAGGGGGCAGGCGCTGGCAGGAGGCAGGTTGCGAGGTCCTAGGCGATTCCACGGCAAGGGGGCAGCAGCAGCAGTGCTGGTGCCTGGGGAGGAGTCGTCAGTCCCCAGCAGAGCTTCCAAGCCAGGACCCTAGGTAGAGCTCACACGCAGAGGAATCCTGACAAAGGTCCGAGGCTCAAAGTGGGGAGGGGCCTTAGGAGACTTTGCATGGTCTGGGTGGAAAGTGATACCACCGACTTAAGGCCGGGTTCACAGCTGCCTCCTGCCTGGGCTGCCCACGGGCTTGTTCTCATTTCTGCCTGGCATCATCCACGAGTCTTGTCGTAGTTGAAGTCCCTTCATTTTCAGTTTTGCATAGGTTTACATCATACGACTACAGTGGCACTTACTTGTCAGTTCTACTTTTGGTGGGCCCTTGGGTGGTTTCCAGCTTGGGTCTGCGATGAGAAGCTGCACTGTCCGCGCTCTCCATAAGCCTCTCGGTCCACACGCACCTGCCCTCTGGCCCTGCCCCGCAGCGTGACTGTGAGTCACAGGGCATGCGTGTGTGGACGTGTAGTGGACAGCGCCGAACGGCCTCCAGAGCGCTGGTATCCATCATGCTCTCGCCTGTTCCTGAGACTAACTCTTGCTGCACTTGGCTCTGTTGGGGTTGCAGTTTGGGCCATTCTAGTGCTCCCACGGATACCCAGTGCAGCTTTAATGCGTCCTTTCCTGGTTACTAATGAGGTTAGTCTCTCTTGGATGTCTTCCTGCTGGTTCCCCCCAGAAAGGCTTTCTCCCGTGTTCCAGTCTTAGCTTTTGACTTACACAGTCCTCACCGTGGAGGACTCAGAGCCAGCGGGATGATGGAGACTCTGTCTCAACCTGGCGCTGTGTGGGGCCGGGGGG